ACATCCTTCTATTCTCCCTGAGTTGCCCATCCCTTCTTCCAAAGATCATAAACTCTTTTTTTTTCCTGAGTCTCAGCAGAAATTCCCTTCTTCTGCCCTGCCAGCTCCTTGTAGAATACTTCATCTGCCCCTTCCTCCTAATTAGGTGATCTATAACAGACTCCCACCAGGATGTCAGCCTTGCTCATCCTCCCCCTGATCCTTACCCAGAAGGACTCAATCTTATGATTTGCAACACTACAACATCTAAACCCTCCATAACATTTAGAGCTACCCACTGCCTCTCCTTCCTTGCCTGACCCTTCTGAAGTGCTTATAGCCATCCATTGCAGCACTTTGGACGTGACTGTGATTCTGCCATGTTTTGCTAATGGTGACTATGTCATAATTTTCCTGTTGCACACCAGCTTCTAACTCCTCCTGTTTGTTGCCCACACTGCATGCGTTGGTGGAGATGCACTTCAGCTGGGCTATTGATCTCCCCTGCCATCACTGAATAAGAAATTGAAACGTGTCTGGCCTTATGGAGCCATCAAGAATTGTTGTCTATGAACGTGCAACTGAAGGATAACTTTTTATTTTCAGCTGTGAATATTTAAATTGTAGGACTTGAAGTTAGGTACAAGTACATTACTGCAGATATCCGTAATGCTTTGTGTTTAAGCTGCTACTATAATGAAATTTCTTGTTAATTCTGCTCCGCAGCATTTGAAACTGAGACAAAAGAGCTATGGGAAACAGCAACTGAAGAGCACTAATTAAGACTCAGAGTGCTTTCAATAAACTTGTGTTGCAATGAACAAATTAACTGACAAGGGAAAAAGACAATATTGCCCTCAGGGGAATGTGCTGACATAGAGATAACTCGAAGTAGTTCAGTAGTCTTTTGATTCAGGGGAAATATGAGTCTGATTCAGTAGCATTTACTCCTGTTGTATCAGAAGGAATAGCACAAAAATGTCATCACATGAGAAGAAAAAAAATGTCAAACTATGGAGAGTGCATGTAGGAAAGCAAGTAAAAAGCTTAAGCAATTATTCCTACTCCTGCTGTTGTGCATGAGAACAGAGGTGGTTGCAGCTGGTATGCAAGGAGTGGGCCTTTCACATCTCAGGGGTCAGGGTACACTGGGAAGCTCCATACGTAGTTAGTTTTACTGCTGGTTGTAAAACACAAAGCCTTTTTCTCTTGAAGGTGTCATTACCCCCAAAAAAAGGAGCACCTGAGAATCCCTGAAGCCACTGACCAATACAGAAAATGTTACACTGAGGGACAGAGCCAGTAATTTGAGCAATAGCAGCAGCAGAAGTGAAAGGTATTCAAGAATTTATTCTTTATAGTTGTTTATTTACCTGTCTCTTTGGAATGATGTAAAATTTGCTTGTTGTCCCAGCTTTGATTTTTGACCCACGTTGTCACAAACATTGTTGGGGGATTGGGGATTTTTTTCCCAATCTTGGTCATGCTACACATAGATTTCTTCATATGAATATCTAGGTGTTAACAGTGATGTATCCTCTCCATAAACCCTGTAACTGTGAATAACCGAAAAGCACTGAACTCTCTGGGATGAAAATGTTGGGAGGGAGGAGTGGAGGTTGCATTTGCAGAGGCTGGTTTGCTTCTGCCATGAGTGCTCCATCCAAACAGCTCCCATTTTTCTCCCACAATTTTCTGTTTCTCATTTCTTTTCCCAAAGCCCATAACTTGAGGTCATTTCAGGATTAATTGATGCTAATATCTTTACTTCAAAGCAGCACAAGATCAAGCCAAATGTACATGCTTAGCAATTACAGATTTGGCAAGGTATTATGGATTGGCTTCTACAGCAGCTGCTTTCTGCCTGTGCTGTTCTACTTATTCAGGCCTTTGATATGACTTCAGAGCACAACTAGCTAGGCCTGTGTTATTTTTGTTGGGTTTTTTTCTTAAAAAAAAGGAGCATTTTAGCACTGTATTCTGCAGAGATTGACCGTTCTGCCATTGCTAATATTTTTAACTGTCTGTAAAATTGCAATGATTATGAATCTGTAGTCTGACCAGCTAGTGGAGAATTCTGTGGATAATGAAGAAAATTGCAGGGGGCAAATTGAAAGATTTCTCTTTCATATTGTGGAGTATCATTATTCCTTTAGTGCTAACAAAGATGAAGCCAATTTAGTATAAATCTTCAAAGCAACATGTGTGAATTTATCTGTCCAGTGCTCATTACAGTTAATGGGAATCATGTGGCTGGAACTTTGCAAGTGCTTTGAAAAGGCTCCTTTTATGGTTACATTACAGACCCCCATGTTAGCTGTTGTGCTGTTGTTTTTATATTGCTCCATTTGTTTTCTTGACATTAAAAAAGCCAAAACAGTAAATTAATTAAAAACTGCATTACCCCCTCTGGAGTTAAATAGACTAAAATACTCATTTTCAAAAGTAAATAGAATATACTTAAATCAACTTGGCACGACGTGGCTCTCTATCGTTTTAAATCCCTGTAGTGTTGGACATGCTGTTTGTTGCACACTAATCAAGGTGAACTTAGCTGGGAAGTCAAAATGTTGACCCAGATACACCCGTGTGAATTTTACTCCCACTGTACTATGAACCACCACGTGTGGTATGGGATTTGTATTGGTTTTTAATCTCTAGGAAATATTTGGGTAATCTGCTTAGGGAAGAAGAAAGACGTAACAACAGGATCTTATTTATGTTAGACAGGTAATGAGCATGGAAGTGTACCTACACACGAGAATGAGCAAATTGTTGGAAGTTTAGTCTTAATTAATGCTTTGATTGCTCTCTTAAAATATATGAATACCCATATACATTATTACAGAAAGAAGTACATTTTTTTTCCCGCTGGCAGTTTGGATAGGCTAGAGAAAAATGCACAAAATAATTTGAAACATGAGAATAATAAAACATTTTCAATCCAGCATAGATTGAAACACCCCAGGTTGCAGGTGAAGGAGATGCTGTGCTTTAGGAGTTCCTTAATGAGGCAGTCTGAGGTCTCTGCCCAGGGGTGGGCTGTATGTGCAGCCTTCTGTTTCTCTCCCTGCCTTCTTTGCTAGGATCCATGAGTGAAATACCTTACAAACCCTCCTTGGATGCAAAATACTCTGAGTTTCTTTTTGTGATCCTGGTACCTGTATTGGGCATCATGTTTTAGCTTCCTTGTGATAAGGCATGAGAGACAAAGGTTGTACGTCTCCCTTCCTTTCAACCCAGGCTTAATCCACAACGTTTGTGCAGGAGCCCAGAGTTTTGAGAAGTTTCAATCCTGAGCACTTGATCTTCTTTGCAGCAGGCCTGACAAAAGTTGGCTCTGACACTTGGTTTCGACTTTGGTGACTTTTGCCAGCATCCTGTGCTGTCCATGTTATTCTCAGAGACTAGACAGTTTTTTTCCCTTGTCTTTGTTTTCCCTCAGTCCGAAGCAAGCTTGCAGGCCATGATTTAGCACTGAGCCTTGCAAAAGATCTAAAGTGGGAGAATATTTTCCCGTCTGCACAGAAACCTAGAGAAGCCATACAGGATGCAGAAAGAGCAGTGCCGGTCAGGTCCTCCAGAGAGGCAGGGAACAGGCAGAGCTAATTCTGCAGTCTGATTGTTTTCCTTTCCTTTCCTTCTTACTGTTCTTTAGAGGGAACCAGATTTTGACCAGTCAGAGAAGTGAAGCATCACCACTGTACAAATAGGATCCTCCAGACTTTTCAACAGAAGGTAAAAGGAGAGATGGTGGGAAGCTGATTCACACAGGGGAGGCTGGTATGTAGATGCAGTCATTCGCTGAGAGTTGTACCTTCGAGTTGTTGATTAAATTACTGCTGCAGCAGTGGAAAGCTTTTGGGGGGTTTGAGTATGGTGAGAGGGTTGTTGTTCAAAGCTGTCACCCTGGAGGGATGAAAAACACTCTGAATGCAAACGCTGTTGAGCAGGTATGTGCTGCTAGAACAATGGCTGGCATTGAGCTTTGCCGCAGGAAACTGGCTTTGGTGTTTCAGCTTTCCACTTGCCATTGCTATTGCCAGAGGGAGGGAGATGAGAGAAATAGGCTACAACAGCAGAAAATCCAATTTATTAAAAAAAAAAACAACAACCCAACCAAACAACAACAACGAAACAATCCTGGGGAATTGCCAGTATTAAATGTACTTAGCAATCTTGCTTGGAGGAAAAAATGTGACATGTAGGAGAGAAATAGGGACATTGCGGGGAAAAAGGCAAAATAAATACAAATGTTGCAGTTGCCAAGTTCTGTGTTTTGCATGCAATTACAAAATGTAGTAGCAGCCCATATGTATTGTAGATGATTCTGTATTATGATTAAACACTGAGGTCTCAACTGGCAAGAGCAAGTTGCCTTAGCAAAATATTTTGTGAAGCCTACGCAGTAGTAAGCATCTTACTTGGATGAGAGAGAAACAAATCCCTTTGGAATGAGCCATTGGATGTCTCTTCGTTTGGAAGAATGACAAGAAAATTTTGTCCAGACTGTCAGATATGTCATAGGGGTTTTGCTGCCAGTGCAGCAGTTTGATCCAAAACCTGTAAAAAGCCTTTACAAGCCTACTACTTCAGTGGATTTTAGATTACTGTGATGAGTAATCTGATTAGAGAGGAGGCCTCTGAGCGTATGGAAAAATCCTGTGGCCAAATGAAGTGACTGCTCCGAAGGACGAGAGTATAACTTGGTAGTATTATAAATGATTTTCAGGTCCTGGTCTACATGTGTTTAATCACAAGATAGTACATAAGCAATTCACAAAGACAGTGGTTTCATTTTGCACTCTACAACTCCCTGATAGCAGGCTGTGGCATGGCATGAGTCAGATTCCTCTCCCAGGTAACAGCAATAGGATGAGAGGTGATGGCTTTCAGTCGTAGCAGGGGAGGTTCAGGTTGAATACTGGGAAACATCTCCCCTCAGAATGAGGGATGATGCAGTGGCCCAGGGAGGTGGTGGGGTCACCATCCCTGGAAACGTTCCAGAACCATGGAGATGCTGCACTGAGGGACGTGGGCAGTGGGCATGGTGGGAGTGGGTTGACTGTTGGAGATCTTAGTAGTCTTTTCACCCTTAATGATTCTGAGAATTTACAATTCAGTGATAAGTTAGATGGTAGTGTAGTTATTCACATGACTAAACAGCACATCGTGTGCTGTTTAGGGGAGGAACAGTTGTATGTCAGCAGACTGAAGAGATGTTTTGAAGAGTGTGAAGCTCTTCAAACTCTTGAAGAGCCTAAAGCTAAGGTAAGAACATTGTGCTAGCACAGACACTGTGCCTTCTGTTTTAAAGATAAAGCTCTGTCTCATACCATGCTTTAAAATAATGTTTTAGCATTGAAATTGTTTGTCGTAAGAGTTGTTGATGAGAACAATGTTGTGACTTGGTCTTGAAGCAAACAGAACAAAAGATATCAAGGTTGAAAAGCATTGCTATGGTTACCTTATTTAAAGGTGATTGTTAATAAAGGAGAGAAAATTGGATCTGAGAAAGGCAGTAATTCCTGTCTTCTTAAGGCATAGAAAACGTTAGTCTGGTATTTTTCATCAAAACTTGATGTGAAATCGCTTCATGTTATGTTCATCAAATATTTGTTTTAAGGATCTGATCCCATCTTAACTCAAAGGATGGAGCAAGGAGAAATCAAACTTAACAAGAAGTTGAGGATTTGAAAAAAGGACAGCATTCATGTTTTGATTTCCTGGATTAATGGCTCTGGACGGAGTCCAGTTAAGATTTAGAGTGAGTGGTTTTCTCCCTTCTTTAGTATTTTGAGAAGAGATAATTGGTTTTAAAATGGTTGCAATGTGCCTTTTAAATCACATATGTTCTGATTTTGCTCTCCTGTTCTTTATCACGGTGCATTACGTATCCGCATGGGACCTTCATAGCAAGGAATCTGAGCTCAAGCTGCTAGCATGATTTAAAACCCAAGCTTAAATATTTTAATTGAAGTCAGCTAACACAGAGCTTCCAATCCCAGGGTAGAATGTTGGCTGTTTTTTCTTTTGTTTGTTTTTTGTTTTTAATCATAAATATGCCCAGAGTCTCTGAAATCAAAAGAACACCATGTACCAGTAGCATGGTTCATGATGACAGCAACTGCCTCGCTCCTTGCTTACACAAAGACCCCTATTCAGATCTGCATAAAATCTTTTCTAGTTACTTCCTTTCTGGGTTAATTTTTTTTTGAGTTCAGAGGAATTAGACCAAAGCTGACTGATGGCCTCTATTTATGCATAAAGGATCTGTTTACTTTGAAATTATTGGTTAACTGAATATCAGCTTTCATATTAGCCTACTTTATCACTTAAAAGAGATGTTTTTCAATTAAAATAAAAAGATATTACATACCTAGGGTTACAGAAACATGTTCTTTAAAAATTAAGTTAAATTAGAAACGACGTTTCCTCTTCTAATATTGATGTTGTAGCCGAGAGTCAAGCTTTAAAAGGAGTCAATTAAATCCTCTGCAGCTTTGCTGCAAAATCCAGATTTAAGCTATACAATAAACCAATCACTGGTGCTAGCAGTTTCAGACCACTCATTTCTGGAAGTCAACTGGTGCAAAAACATTCATCTAAACCCACATCTCTAATCAACAATGTCAAGATTTAAACATGAGCGTGTCACAAGATGAGTTTTATTGCCAGATTTCTGACACCAGCAGGCTCCACAGGGCTGTTAGGAAAGCACAGTGTTTATTGATCCTAGAAATAAGCACATCAAATGTGTGGTACCCCTTTGCTGCAGGGTTTGTCCAGTGAGTCACTGATGCTTCCTACTGATGCTGATGGCTCATCTCCATGAACTCACCAACAAATGCAAATGGCTGAGTTCAGGAATGTAGAGAGTGGGACAGTGAGGCTGTTAGTATTCAACCTTGTGGTCCTAGGAGCCAAAAGAACCCCCCAAAGATAAAACCACAGAGGAGCAATATGTTTTATCTGGTTTCTTCCCAACACTTGCTGTCAGACTTTGTTCTAAAGCTCATCTGTGATCTGAACTCTTGGAGTCTGCTTGATAACTGTGCTTTATAGCTTCATCTTTACCATTAGATTAGTTAATGAAGATTTTAAAACTAGTATACTGAAGATTGCCCTGCTTGGAAATGATTAAAAGCTGCAGAGAACTATCTTTCCATTTATGAGTATAGATGAAGTACCTCTTGCATACTGTCTGCACTTGCAGTCCGGCAGTAATTTCTAAGCAGTCTGTCTCTTCTGATTATCTCAGCAGCAGCCAAGAGCCATTCTTCCAGCCCCACACTGTGCAGACCTGGGAGAAAGGAGGAAGTGGTCCTCAGCCTAAAGAATTTAAACTCTCAGAAAAGTGGTGATGAAATAGAAGTCATGCTAATTTCAAGTGTTAATGAAGCAGAATCCATCCTGATGTGAAGGTGAGCAATAAGAGCAGTGCATCCAGGCTGGCATTGTGATGGCTGCTGTTCCATCAGCAGCTCCAGGAAGCAGCTGGCAGCACTGAGCTCAGGATCCCTACACCAAATACTTCATTCCTTTTAGTAAAGTGTTTGTTTTATATGTTTGTCTCCCACAGCTTGACTTCCATTGTGTTTAATGTAGTTCTGATCCCTGTTATAACAGCTTTCTAAATTACATCATGAGTGAGCTAGAAAGGAGTATTTAAGAACAGTGCTAATATTGTTTCTCTGCTTTGTGCTGGTTTGAAAACCAGCTGTGCAGCAAAGAATAGAACTGTTCTTGATGAGAGTGTATTAGTCTAAAACCAAACATCCAACATGTCTGTTCTAGCTATCTGACCTGTAATCTAAACTAATGGGGTTTTGTCCTCGGGCAACCCAACCACTATTCTTAAGCATTGTAATTGTGATGCATCTTGGCTAGAGAGGCTGCTATTTCCAGCAGACTCTAGAAGCAGAGGGTTTGGTTCCAAAGAAATCAGCATTCACTGAAGCTGAAAGTTAATCTAATCCTGTTGGTAGCTGGCATTTATATAAATCATTTGGACAACTTTGTGCAAACCCTGCTTTTTATTCCCCATTTATCCAGACCCTACACCAGCATAATCCCATCCCTTCCCTGCAGTTTCCTGATGTTAGGGCACACTGATGTTCAATCACAGCCACGGCCCTGCCATGTTCCTTTGGTGTACACGGCAGGCCAGGTATTTACTGTTCTAAATAACAGCATATGTAACCACAGGATGTTTTGCAACAGGGAGTGGATTTCCGCTTTGTGTCAAAGGAAAACAAAGATGCAGTGAAATACATGTATTGATTCAGGGTTTGTTTCTGCAGTGGCACAAGATATGAGTGTGGACATTGGAGGTAATTCTCTCCTGGAGCCTCACTCCATGAGCACTCGCTCCACGAAAAGCTGCTTTGGTTTCAGAGGGAGTGAAGCTGATCCGGAGGTGTTGACAGATTTGTGGCAGTGCTGCCTGGGCCCTGCAGGATGCAGCTCTAGGTAAAATCCCAGCCTGTCCCACACCCTGGAGAGCTGCTGCCCCTGTTTGCTGCTTCTGTTTGCTGCCAGCAGCCGCCTCAGCAGGCGGCTTCTCCCCATGGCCCTGTGCTGCTGCACGTGGTACAGGTGCATCCAAGATGAGTATTTTATTTTGGGAAGGATCTTCCTCACCCCCTCCCTTCCTTTACATCTGATCTCTGTTTTCTCAGGTGTGAAATGGGATAGTGATATGAAAATGCCTCCAGTTTCATAGATGAAAAGCCTCTTACAGAACTGATGTATTCTATTTTTTCTCTCCAAAATCATAACCATGACATTTCACTTTTTTTCTCTTGCTTCAGCCTCTTGTGCTTTGCTCAAAAGGAGTTCCCTTTGCTCCCTCACGTAAAATAAACATAATTTAAAGTCACTTTGTCTTTTGGAGTTTGTGCTAAATCTCTATAGCAGTGTCATTGCAGCTGTAAGATTTTAAAGATCTAAGAGTAGCAAATTTTATGTTTGGCTTTCAAACTTTAGAATATACAGACAAATAGAGATGGTAGCAATATTTTCCAGGAAGATGAAGTAATACTTGAATTATATGAAAATAATCTTCCTAAATTTTGATTCTCGTGGGTATTTGAAGAGGACAGTGGATCTAATGTGCCAATAAAGGATATCTTTTCTCTCCTTTTCTCTCTCTGTTTTTTCAGCTACCCGAGGATCCTCTGTGACACAGCCACAATGGGACCAGACTTTATGGTCTATTGTGTTAACAATCTGTGAATTAAAGCATCCCCCAGCAAGCTCTTAATGTGATGGATTGTATCAGTGATGTGCCGTTAAAGGGTCCCCAGTCAAACTGGACACGACAGGCCAGAGTGGTTTGGAAGGCCTGGCAGCTCCATCAGATTTTAGGGCCGTGCCTGGTGCATGGGATAAACCTGATAGGAGATCACGGGGAGCTTCAGAGGAGGCTGAGGATGCTCATCACATTGCCAGGGATGAGCCCAAGAGACCATAATGCTCAGAATCCTCTTGACGAAGAAAAGCAGAAGTCTCAGCATTAAAAATAGATGCTTTTTATCTTGCATAGGATACAAAATCTCTTGTGATAGGACATTTTTTTTATTATATTTTAGCAGCTCCAAGCAGTCTTGGATTAGGCCTATATCACAACAGTAATACACAGGAGGCAATGTTTTGTCTTGCTATGACACCAGCTACTATTGTTTTTGATCTGCAGCCTCTGAAGAGGGATGCTGCATCTTCGAGGGAAGGTGTTATGAGTGCAGATTAGTTAGACAAGTGCTGGAGTGAATGCATAAGCAGTGATTTTGCATAATGAGGTATGTGAAATCCCAGTGGAGGTTGTTAAAACAGATAGACAGCCTGTGGTAAACAACAAGGAAGGTAAGCTTTGAAAACAGATGGCTTTGAAAACCTGGCAAATGACTGTTCCATACTTAAAAATCGGTTTTGTTGGAGGAAAATATCTTCTTAAAAAAAAAAAAAAAAAAAAAAGCAAGGAAAAAGCTTAGCCTGCATATTTTCATAAACCTGAACATGTTAATATACATTCTGTGGGTAACCATGTATCAGCTGTCTTTCCTGCTGTACTGCCTGCAGGATGGAGGCAATGGAGCGAATACCCCGAGATGTTCTGCAGCGATCCATCAGACGTTGCCACACAGCTCCTTCTCTCTGGCAGACGTGTTGCTCTTCATTATCACTTTGATGATCTGTAGGTGTGCACTTTGCACTGGGAAATTAATCTTGCATCCAAAGGGTTAATTCATCTTGAAAGATAGAGCCGTGGAGTGAGATGGCAACGTAGGAGAATATTGCTGTTAGTTGGAAAGGGCGCAGAGGTGCCCACTGCTATCTGAGACATTGCATATCTAGGATTGCCAGAAGATGAAATTCTGCTTTGAAGCTGCTTGCTTCACTTCTGTGCTCTCAGAATGAGCAGCTGGAGGCTGGGCCAGGGCTGGGCCCTTGGTCTGTTGTGAGCCAAAGCCATCTGGAAGGTGCATGAAGGCTCACAACCATTTCTAGTGTAACCTGTCCTGTGCTTGCACTCCCTGTTGCATTCTGTAGCTATAAAATAGCTGTGATGTGAATTTGTATAATGTTAACTTCAGGTCTCATAGCTGCCCTGGTATACCCAGGGGGTCCAGCCTGGAGGCTCACTCAGTTCTAATGCTGAAGCACTCAGTGTCTGCTAAATACCTTTCCCTTTGGCTTGAACTGAAGATATGAGATGTGAAATGAGATAGATCTCATTTTATTAGACTAATGATTTCATTTGTTCCCAGTGTAATCTTGAAGCTTTCCTGTGCAGGTACACGTTGCTCTGTAGCCCATGGGTAAATAAACTTCCCTTTCCTTAGTTGTTCTGTGGCTTCCTCAGGTGTAGCCACAGGTATGGATGCAACTTAAAGATGGAACAGGTGCTCTGATGCCTTCTTGAAAGGGATCACAAATGCTTCCAAGGGATGTCTCAGTTCCCATCTTCTGCTGCAAAATAAGGTGAGTCCCTATGATCTGCAATAAGAGATGGTTCATTCTGTGCCCTGAAAAATCCAGAACACGGGGACTGGTCAAACACTTGCCTTAGTACACTGGAACTGCCTTGGCTTGATCTGGTGAGTACACTCAGTTGCAGTTACAGCCCCAACAGCAGAGCTCTAGCACCAGCAATGGCAGCCCATGCTCTTAAATCCTGGCAATGTGGGGGAAGAGAGCAGCTGCATACTGCACTTGTTTCCCAGCTTGTTGGAAATGGGATGGTGAGACATTGGTGCATGGTTTGTGGGAATGGGAGCCATGTGATACACAGAAAAAGGGAGATTATTCTTTTGTCATTGGGTTTGCAAGGCCAGTGCTGCAGGCAAGCTCTCTGTGTCCCATGTTGGCAGAGGAGGGGGCTGTGCTTCCACTGACATTGATTAGGGGAAATATGTGCTTAGGAAGTAGGAGAAACAAAATGAATCCTCTTCATCTTTCTTTTCATAAATTGCAGTACTTGCTGTGCAGCTCAGTTCTCAAGGTACTAAGTACAGCTGCTGGGAATTTTTGCCATTATGTTGTTGTTTGTTTGTTTGTTTTATAAAAAATGCTGATTACAAAACTGGGTCTCAGTGCAAGAGAAGGCAGTGGATTTTTTTTGCGCAGTAATTCCCGTTTTTGAGTCATCTCAAAATGTTCAATTTCAACACTGGCAAAATGACAGAGTGAGCTTTTTTATTGTTTTTATGCAACGTTATTGTCAGCATTCCAGGCAATAAGTTAGAAGCATTACGTTTGCTTGAAGTAAAAAGAAAATGATTGACGTGGTAATATTTTCTCTGACATTATTATTATTATTATTCCTTGACTTCTCAGCTCTATTTGCACGTTGACATCACTGGGTGAGCAGCTTCTGAGAAGTCTACAGGACAGGAAACAAAAATGAATTTTCAGTGGGAGAAACCTTTGCTACACAGAGATTGATCTGAATGGAGACTTTCTGCTGCTTCTGCGTTGAGTTGTGTGCTTTCCCTTTTTTTTGGATGTTTGTACCCAGCACTCAGGTATTTCTTGAGCTCTGCCAGGTTCTGCAGTGTGCTCATTTTTTACCAAAGAGACCTGTGCTTTGTTAAGTGTTGAGAGTAACACTTTGGGACAGTTACTCTGCTGAAAATGTACGCATTTGTGTTATTTGATTCTATATGTAATAGTTGAACTGTCCTGAAAAATCTCACCTCCACTGTCTCAAGATCTGTTCTTTGCTGTGCTTTGTTGCTGCAAATGTCTGCTGGAGATATACGAAGTTGTGGAGTAAATGAGAAGGGACAGCACTGTCCTGTCATTAACAGGTCCAGAAGAAGTCAGATATCCCACCAAGATCACAGAAGGAACCTTAGGAGACTATTGAGTCCAACCCTCCTGCTAATGCAGGAACCCTACAATAGGTCACATAGCCAGCCAGGTCTTGAATATAGAATCACAGAATGGCCTGGGTTGAAAAGGACCACAGTGATCATCTTGCTTCAACCCCCTGCTATGTGCAGGGTTGCCAACCAGCAGCCCAGGCTGCCCAGAACCATCTCCATAGGAGACTCCACCACCTCCCTTGTCAGCCTGCTCCAGTGTTCTGTCACCCTTATCATACAGAAATTCTTCCGTATGTTTGTACGAAACTTCCTACGTTCAAGTTTTAGGCCACTGCTCCTTGTCCTACACACCACCAAGAAGAGCCTGGCTTCATCAATCTACCTCCAACCTTTTCTTCCATATTTACAAGCACGAATCAGATCCCCTCTCAGTCTTCTTTTCTCGTTTGGCTTCCAGCTGCAGGGAACGAGGCCATTTCATCTCAGCTGCTGCACCAGCGCTGTGATAAGAAAGCCATGCAGACGTTTCCCCGTTCTAGGATTGCTGTTAGAAATGTGTGTTACACACGGGGGCAGTAGCACACCGTGAAGATGCTCAGTGCGTTAATCCCGACTGCAGTGATTTACAGCAGGATATTCAGTGTTCGTTAGCTGGCTGCGTGTTTGACAGCTACTGGCACGGAGTATGAGCCTACATCCAAGTTTGTCCTAAATGCTAAGTGATGAGCAAAAAGAAGTTTGGTATTGGCTCCCTTAAAGTGATCTGTATGTGAATCTGTACCTGCTGAAGCTTTTGATTCCAACTTTGATATGTGGCCACTTGTGCCTGTTTAAATGTCTCAGGTGCCATCTGAAGCCTGAAGATAAAACGCTGCTTTGGAGAACATCGTAGAACTGCTCTTCTCGTATCTTGGAATCCACCCTTGTACTGAACTGCCCTACCTTTAAGCTGTTGGAATTATTTTCTCTGATACAGTTAGCAGAAAAGTTTTCATAGTGTGTGCTTAAGTGCTTTGCTGGATGCAGGCCAGAGCGGGCATCTCGCAGAACGGACCTTGTAATGACTCGCCTTGTCCCCAAATCTCAGCTTTCTTCACAAACCCCAGTAACCAGAATCTCCTGTTAGCCTGCGAGGGCTGCAGCAGCCGCAGTGTCCTGGCTTTCCAGATGGCAAAGAGTGCTTAAATGACTTGCTCAGGGGAGCTGGGAGATGAGTGAGGCTGGGCAGATGCGGGAGGCGGACTCTGGGGAGGGTTTTGTCTGCTGGCTTTATTACATGTTTGTTATATTTATGCTGCTGCCTGGGTGGTGTGACTGGGATGTAATTGCCTGAGTCCGTCTGTTCCGTGAGGTGTTTGCTAGGAGAGCTCTCAGAGACGAGGGACTCTGGTTGCTCCTCAGCCATGAGCTCTTTAACAGTATTTCATTGGAACACAGGGAGTTACACAGGATATTATTTTAAGGTAATACCTTCTGTGCATTAATCATTGGTTGTTATTGACTTGGTGACACGTTGCTGTTGGTGAAATGAACTGTGATATAATTAGGAGCAAATAATACCCAGGCATGCTGTGCTAATTATTTTTATGTGAACCCAATTCATCGCTAATATAAATAGCAATATTAATCACAGCAAGTATCAATATTTATGCAGCATGCTTCCATTTAAGTTCAGCTGTAGGCGACGATTCTTATATGTACACTGAAGAAAGAGATATAAATGAGGTTAGAGAGTCTTTTTAATCACACCAGAGGACAGAACATCCCATCCGTTGTATGACATGAACCAAATTGGTCTTTGCTTGTAACAAAGAACTGCAAGACATTACTCCGGGCTGTTTCCCTGCAGTAGTCCACGTCTTCAATGTAACAAATTGAATTAATGTCATTAGAAGTTGTTTGAATTTATATATGACTGTTTTTCCCTTCTCCTATTTCTAAGCACCTTGCAGGGGAGTTGGACGTGGTGACCTTTCAGGATCCCTTCCAACTCAAAGGATTCTGTGGGCACAGCACGTGTCTTAAGAAGGATCTGTTGTAGGAACAAGAAGTGTGTTCTGCTCCAAAAATCTCTCTGAAACCAGAGCTGACTTGGTTAAGCTGCAATCACCTTCCTGTGAACGTGGCAAATGGAAACCTCATCTGCAGTGTGGGACCATCCAGGAGAGGGGTGAGGAGGCATCTTGCTGCACAGAACACGCAGTGGTGGCACACAGCAGATCCCAGGGGCTGGGAGGGAGAAGCAAGGCAGAAGATTGGCACGTGATCCTGACCCTGGGCAGGGATGTGCCAATGCTTGTGCAGAGGTGCACTCAATAAATGAGACGATGATGTATGGCACAGTACATCACGTTCTTGAAGGCAAGGCATATATACTCACCAGATAATGTGGAGCGTGTGAAGTATTGAATATATCAAAGAAAGATTAATCTTTGTCTGCGTTTTCTGTCTAGCTGAGCCAGTGCTGTGTAATTTAAAACGTGGGGAGTGCGTGTTTGCTTCTGTTTTAGGACAAAGGAGGAACGTATTTGTGTATCACGGTAGAGGGTGTCACATCTGTTACTTTAGTATGAAATGGGCTTTCTCCATTATTTTGCAAAAGAAAACTCTCAGCATCCAAGGCCCTTTA